TAAGCTATGTAAAAAATAATTGTAAACTTGACTAGACCTACATAAGTAAATATCCTTTAAACCAAAAAACCATGTCTATAAAGCCTAAGTTTGACTCAATAAAATTAGTACAAAAAGAACTCTTCACGTATTCACTTCTGTACTTATTGGGGCGACTATTGCCACTGGCATTGTACTTGCGGGACGCAACAAAAACCAATTTCTATATTTCAGCATGAAGAATTTGAATTCATACACTGACGTTCCAGAATATTTTGCATGTATGTTACCAAAACTGAAAAAAAATTCCGTGTCTATAAATTGAGCAGTTTCTCCTTTATCAAGATGGAGAAAAAATTATGAAAGCGTGCAGAAAAAAAATTCTGTGCATTTGAGACTGAAGGAATACTTGTTTAGGCACCATGCAGACTAGTGCAACAGGTTTTTGCAGGTTACAGCCAAGTTCAGAGCGGAAATTCATAGCTTCGTTGGATATTCCCTGGGATCCAAAGGGTACAGATTGTACGATCAGGTGACACTACAGGACGTTTTTAAACGCTACGATTCCGTCGAGGGATCCTGCAGATGTATCTAGGGTGGAGCTTCAGCTCGATGTGGATAAAGTACTAAGAGAAAACATCATCACAGATTAAACCGAAGGAGGCAAAAAATTTCTAGATGAACATGTCCACAAAAAGTGTAATGCAGTACTTTGCAGGAACGGCCACTAACAAGTTAAGCTATTGCGCAGAAGATTATCCGACTGAGCCGGCAACGCTAACCACTGACGTTCGTATAAAGAATACGTTTTCTTTTCACCAGCAGATTTTCAGCGCTCAGACTTTGCAAAAAATCCAGTTTATCATGCACGTTCAAAGCATATTGGAAAAAGTTATTATTTTGTCAGGGAGTCTATCCGACAGGATCTCCGATAGGTAGTTATCCGATCCATGTTAGCCGATATGTTAACCAATAATTTGACTGGGCACAGACAACGAAGGGGTCTTCATTATCGGTTAGTAACGAAAATGCGCGCAAGCTTAGGCGCCAACTAGACTCTGGTGCGGTACGGATAACTCTGTAAACTCGAAGAGTATTTACTGTTTCAGTTTCCTTCGGGTACGGAGAAGATCTGAAAGTGTGGGGGACCTCCATATCAGGACCATAGGACCTCCATATTCGCAGCAAATTGCGGCACCAAAACCGACGAAGGGTGCCAGATATGGTGGCTTATATGGAGCCGAAGGACAGAACATCCCGAACCATGCCCGGCTCCATATATGACTAACGGGTATTCAATACTCTAATAATCAACATTGTCGATTTCCTCATTCCGTATGTCCCACGGCCATTTATAGTTCTCAGTAATTTTCTATTGGGCTCTCTGGATAACTTTTAGGTTACTAACGCATACGTTTCCTCATATCGCGGAGCCATTTTTCCAAAATGGTTTGAGAACTGAATTGTACAGAAGTACTCCAATTTAAGCGGAGAGCGAGCATTTATTAACCAGTGTAGGCTTCTTGCTTTTAATTTTAACTATGTTCTCTTAGCTTCGATGTGCCTTCTCCAAGTAAGCCGTCACTTTTGCATTAACCTTTATGCGCCAATCTGCTAGCCATTTCTCCAAAAGCCCGAAATGAGCTGATTGAGTTGCTCTCATTGGGACACTTGAATCGAATTAGAATGACAGTACCACGAGTCACCGGTGGACAGCCAGAACTGCAGGGTATGTATGTATGTATACATAAAGTAGAATCCTGTTATAACGACTCCGCTAATAGTGTCCGTCCGGGTTGTGCGACGAAATCTCGATGGTTTGGTTGGTCCCCATACAAACTTATATGAAAGGGCCTCTGCTTAGAGTGTTTCCGCTATTAGCGACAAACCGCTTATACGAACGAAATTGTTCAAGAAAATTAAAAATTTAACCGGATATTGCGTCGTGCAGAAAAAAAACACATTGCAATAGTGCCAAATGTAAGCATCAAAACACGCTGTTAGAAATGTATGTATTTATTAGTGATCGGCACCTTTGCTTGTGTGCGTAGCAGCGACACGAAGGATCTTACACTGTCACTACTCTCTGTTAGTTTTAGCTGTCGCCTTAACTACGCTGCTGCGAGAGAGAGAAAGTCGAAGTGCAATGCCGACGTCACACTGCGTGTGCAGCCCTCATAGTCTATTCCATGAGATGTCCCGTTATATTTTCCTATAAATAGTTTTTTCTGCTTTTTTCCGAGTAAAACTAAAAGCGTAAATTCGACAAATGCAAAATATGCAATAATAAGCTCACTCAGTTTTTAGTATTTTGAGAAACCCATGCTTTTGAATTAAATTTATTAAAATTTTCGTTTTAATTAAAAAACTAATTTGATTTATTTTAAAAAACTATTACGAAGACGGCAACAATAAATAAACAAAAAAAAATGTTTTTTTTGTTCCTTTTGCTTAGTGCGTCTTCCGACGAAAAATCGTCGGTCCCTTGAAAGTCGCTATAACCGGATTCTACTGTATTTAAATACGAATGTTTATTTAAATGCCTTTTTACTTTTTGCAATTATTTGAAATTATTAAATTTTATTATGCATGCAATTCCAACTCTACTATATCGTACATATGTGCCAAGAATTGAGAGCGAGGTGACATTTTTTAAAGACAATCGACAAATATGTTTACTTTTTTCAATAGTTTGCTTTCAATTTTTGCACAAATACCTTTGGTTCTTTGTTCGGATCGAACAATCGCAGGGCATTCCTCGTCAGTGGCAGTAACGTCGAATTAGGTAATTGTATTTCGTGACCGGCATGATATAGTTGTTAGCTGTTGTTTTTTGAATTAGTTGTTTTGAATTTTTGTGCAATTTTCTATATAACGAAAAAAAAAAATTGTTGCCTTTAATTAATTAATTAGTCCACCCGGGGGCGCCATGATAATTTAGAAGAGTTTTTCTAATATTAATAACCGAAAACTTTGGTGGCTAGCTAGCCATTTTGGCGAACCGAATGTCTCACTTTCAACGAATGTCTATTATCTCTCCAAAATCATACTTAAGCCTAGCTTACCGAAGGTTGGCGAAGACGGAGTGAACTCGCAGAGAGCGAAGGAAAGCTTTTTTGCGCTTCCGCCTTCGCCCTAAACTAACTTACACTAGACTTCAAACTTCAATTCAATAACAATCTAACAATTCAAGAAATAAATAAAAAAAAACTGACTTTAGCCAACACTAGGCTCACCTGAATTTCCTCCACTGATGAAAGTGATTCCAAAAGCTGGGGTTTGATCTGAAAACTGTTAATAAAGCAGATCGACAATAACACCTGATCGGCTGATACCTGTCTTTAATGCGACCAAACTTGGCATGTACCCCCTACTTAATTGCATTTTATATTCTTTTAAAAAATATTCTGATAATTACACTAAAAATCTTTGCAACTAACGATAATTTAATTTAAACTTGTCTTGTATTCACATATTCACATCTATTTGTTTTTAGCCTAAACTACTTGTTTTTAACTTAAGTGATTTTATTGTATGTATATAGTTGTTTCTTAAATTCACATGATTTTAACTTGTTTTATCGGTATTTTTATCTGTTTTTAGCTAATATTTGTGTTTTACAATTTACTGTTTAGGCTTGCGCCTTTTATTTAGCAGTTTCGGGGTCCTTTGGTTTCAATAATCTTTCAAACAAGCGTTTGCTGAGCCACAACTACACTTTTTAGAACATATTAAAGGGTATACAAGTTACGACAGTAGATAAAGATCAAACACAAGCTCGTACTTTTTACTTTATATAAAACTACTGGCTGGACTAAGCACACATGGAAGTAAAAGGCAGAAGTACCTACGAGTGACGTACGAAAGTAAAAAGCTTTTGACTTATATCTTGATAACGGAGCTACGAGTCATATGTGTTGCGTTCGAATTGCGAGCGAAAGCATTATTTTGCACGTACCAAAAATGAAAGAAAATTCCATGTCTATAAATTGAACAGTTTCTCCTTTATCAAAATGAAGGAAAAGTAATGAAAGCGTGTAGTAAAAAAATTCTGTGCATTTGAGACTAATGGAATACTTGTTTAGGCGCCATGCAGACTAGTGCAAGTATGTGCCATAACAGCTGTTTTTCAGGTTCCAGCCAAATGCATAGTATCGATTCGTTGGATATTCCCAGGTGACACTACTGCGCGTTCAAAGCATGTTGGAAAAAGTAATTATTTTGCCAGGGAAGTTAGCTGACAGGATATCCGATAGGTAAGTTATCCGATCCATGTTAACCGATATGTTAACCAATAATTTGACTCGGCACAGGCAAAGAAGGGGTCTTCGTTATCGTTATCGGATACCGGCAAAAATGCGCATAACTTAGGCGCCAAATAGGCTCTGCTCCGGTACGGATAACTCTGTAAACTCGAAGAGTATTTACTGTTTCAATTCCCGTCGGGTACGGAGAAGACCTGAGAGTGTGGTTCCAGGTAACCTCCATTTCCGCAGCAATTTACGGAATTAAAACCGACGTAGGGTGCCAGATGGGGTGGCTAATATGATGCCGCAGGACAGATCATTCCGGCTCCATATATGATTAATGGGTATTCAATACTCTAATAATCAACAGGAAAACTTTTTTTAAATATTTTACTTGTATGCACAAGTATAAATTTGTTAAATCTTATATTAGAGTTAAATTAATATTTTTTTTATTTTTAATATTTATATTTTTTTTTACAAAAATTTGGATGTTTTTTTTGTTTAAGTTTTTACACTGCTTACGCGAAATTCATAATTATTTGGTACATTCTTTTTATATTCAGTTACCCTTTTTTTCGATTCTTTAACATGTCATTATAAAATAAATCAAAAATTAAATCACCTAAAAAATATAAATACATAAAACTACATATATAATCAACGTAATTGGAAATATTTCTGACTGCAACTTTTTTGCTAGCTTAGAGTATGAACTCAACTAGTAAGTTTTTATTAAAAAAAATATGCGACCTTTACAAGAAATCCCCGATGTTTCATTTAATTCGTTTTATTATCTTCAAGTGTGGTTTATCATTTGCTTGGCTTTTATTATATCTTTTCATTAGAAAAACGACTTTTAATTTAGGCTTGATGTGAATTTAAATACAGAAGCAAAAAAACATTCTATTAAGCTTGATTATAACGCTGGTTCTGATAAGTATTTAAAACTACTGCCTCGTGCATACTTTTTTGCCACTAAACATGGATCAAGCTCTTTGTAAGAAGCATTTAGGTTCGATTGAAAATAAAATAGATGAAGACAGCGATGGCAATGCAGCCAAGTGGTAGGGCACGATGCAGTAAAACATGTTTTCTAGGTGGCAAGTGCTGCTGCTCTAGATGCAGCTGCGAAATTTCATTGCGAAGCTGCAAATTGCAACTTTCAGAATTCTCAAGTCGTTCCTTGTAAACAATAAGCTCCTCTTCCTGTTCTACAAGGGAGTTATTTAAGGCTGAAATATCTTCGTTCCAAGCATTCTCAACGATATCTTCATTACCGTCTTGTCCTGTAATCTGAAGTTGCTCACTGATTCCGCTCCCGCTCTCTTTTTTATTTTTCTGAAGCTTCGTAATTTCATTTTGCGCAATTTCCAGTTCTAGCTGTTTCTTTAACATCTCAATCTGCTCGTGCATTGAGTGAATTTCGCTAGTCAACCGCACCGTCTTTATTTTGTAGGAATCACATTCCTCCTGTAACATTTCTATTGCCTGCTCTGTGGGCAAATCAGGTGGAATACAATGGTTTCCCTCGACAAGCTGTGTCTCTTGGCTTTCCAACTTTCGATCTAAGATAGTTGCAAAAGATTTCTGATACAGTTCAGGAATACTATTAAGCTCTTCATGCGATTTAGCTGCTTCTTGCTTCATGCCAGCATTCTCTTCCCTTATTTCGTCTTCGGAATCGTCATCTTCATTGTTGAAAATTGCTTTTAGAACTGCAGCCCCTTCATCGCCCTTGCTAAGGTCAGAGTTCTTAAGCAACCTTATGACGCTTGATTTCTGTAAAACATTTTTTATATCTAGTTCGTTAGGTTTCGACTTCTTTACCTAGAATGAAAATTAAATATATAAAAAGAGGTTTGATATGGTATAAACCTAACATTACCTTATTTTCTTTTATCGAAGCAGTTGTTTGCTGATCTATGTCCATTATGAGATGATTTTTTTCTGAACTTTCTTCTTCTCTTCCATGATGTTCCGTCTTTTCTTTTTCGCCATATTCATCGGAAATAATGGCGTTTATTTGCTTTAAGACATTCTGCTCTTGATACTTCTGCTCGATTTCGTTCGTGGCAGTGGACTGTTGGAGCTGAGAAACCTTAAGGCGTAGTTCATCTAGTTCGCGTTCTTGCGTGAACAGCTTTTCCTTCAGCAGCTCCAAACCGCGCTCTTCATGCTCTTTAGCCTCTTGTTGTTGGCGTAATGATTCCTGCTTGTAATCTACATTCTCCTGCTGCAGTTGCTCGAGTCTAGTGTTAAAGTCCTGCAGAGTCTGTTTCGAAATGACAATTTGATTGCGCAATATACCGCACTCGTTCTCCGAGGTGGCGTAAGCTATCTCTATCTTTGAGAGCATTTGCATAGCATCGCAACGTTCCTGGTAAACTTTGCGCAGTGCCTCTTTGGCAGTCATTTGGTAGGTGGTTTTGTCCTCAAGAAGCTTTACAATCTATCAACAGAAAAGTAAATATTATTATAAATAATAAAAGTATAGCAGGTCGAAATTTGGATACCTCGTTACGAAGAGCGTTCTCCGGAACGTTCTTTTCCATCATCTGCAGCTTTTTTTCTAGTAGGTTGATTTTGTGTAGTAACTGGTCTTCCGTTATCATGCTCTGCCAACACATTGCGGAGTTCTTTCGGGTGGAATCAAGGACGCCCTGCAAGCTGCTTAACTTAGCTTTTAGTGTCCTCTCCCTTTGCGCCGCCTCCTGAAGGAACGAATTCAAGCGCTGGATTTCATCAAAGCTGATTCGGTTTTGACCTGTAAATAACATCTGGTCCGCCTCGATCGAGATAGCCTCACGACCATCGGGTAAGAAGAGGGTGACGCGGGCAATGATGCATCCGTGCACCTCTTGTCGCGAGTTCTCAATAACCTCAACGCCAAATTTAACGATATCACCGTAGTGCAATTCCGCTGGATCATTTCCTAGTTTATTGTCGTTGATAAAGGTACCGTTGCTTGACTTTGTGTCTTTAACCCAAAAACGACCATCTGGTGTATACCACAGCATTGCATGGTTTCGTGACAAAACCTTGCAGTCAAAAATTGCATTTCCCTCGTTCGCCTTACTTTTGGCAATAAGGCGACCTACCTTGCACTCTTGGTTTGGCTGCAAAAATATGTACCTTGTATCGAATTTGTGCGACTTGGCCTCACACTGTAAAACGATTTTAGCATCACCTGTACAGGGTGCTGAGCCCAACTCAGCTCCAGTGTTTTGATCTACCGAGGCCGGTTGGGTAACGGAAACAACCGGGAGGGCCTCGCAATCCGCTGCCGGACCGCCGATATTTGCGGTCGCTGCTGGGTTCATTGACATATGTAACAACTGCTGGGAAACTCCAGCGGGCATTTGAGCTGAAAGCCTATGGTCGAAACCGCATGAACCTAGCAACGTCTTCGTGCTGGAGTCGGAAAAATGAATGTTGTTATTTTCCTGGTTCTCGGTCGACTCGTCGTTGTTGCTCTCAACTAAATAGAGGTCGTGCTTCTCCGTTACATGGAAAAGTTGTTCCTGCTCCAATTTTGTAGATTCCATGCTAGTGTTAGCCTCAGCCTTTCTTCGATTAACAGTCGATGCCACTTCTCCGCCGTTACCAGGTATGCTTGCCTCAGGTGTGACCGTTACTAAGTCTGTGGGTGTGCCCCCGCTACTCAATGCTACTGCTCCGACTGCCCTTGATGCTGACGTCGGCGGTAATGGGCTTAATTTCTGGTCATCATCCTTGTTATTCAGCCATTCGTTTCTCACCAAGACCATTACTGGAATCCATAATCCAAGATTAAGTATAGTGTGCGAGAGCAAAGGCGGATTTACAATATACATATTTAATGTTGGGTAAAAACAACCAAAATTAACTAGCTTGAGAGTCATTACTATTCCCATAACTAAAAGTAAATATCGTAGCCTTGGCATTGTTCATAATATTAACTATTTGCTGTTCATCGTATTTTTGGGAATGGTAAGAACTGCGTCCACCTAATAATTCAGCCCAAGTCTAAGGGTTAGTTTACGATTTTAATGCTTAAACTACAGAAAAGGGAAAAGAAAACACACGGAACACAACTGAACCAAAACTGGGTAAAAAAACATGATTATTTTCCTTTTGCCTAAACTTCAATTAATTAAAATGCTGTCGGATAAGCGCAAACGTTCAAGAATTTTGTTTTTAATCGCTGTTGTTGTTGAAAAAACTAACTTAAAAAATTAAGCTAATTGCGCCAATGTGCGCAATGGGACATACCTTGGGTGTTGGGTACTTGCTTGATTTATTGTAATAAATTATTTTACTTCCTTCTTTAGTTTGGTTTCGATTTATTTGTTTGTAGTCATTTGCTCTCTCTACAAACGCCAGGCGTACTATGCACGAAATGACTGCTTTTCGTTAGTTTCTTTTAAAACAGACTTTAGAAGCAAAGTTTGTTGAAACAAGCTGCAGTTTTTGTGGACTTCAGCGTTACCTGAAACCAAGTTAATTATTAAATTTCAGGAGATGACCAACGTGTTATTGTCTTAAATAACACTTATGCATTTTGTGAAAAACGTAAAACCTTTTTGCTTACTAATGTTACCTTTTTGAGTCTTGTCAAATATCACAAAGCTAATATGACGTAAAACTTATTAATATGCGACTGAAATACAGCTGATGAACATAAAATATTTACTCCAGCACCGAAAAGATTGTTGCCGCTTTTTTATGAAAACATAAATATACACAGAAAATGTCTTACAGTATTAACAGCGATTCAACATTAAGTGCATATTATACCTTATTCATACCAAGAATCGTCCGATTCAAGGAAAAAGCAAAATAAAGGACTCACACTAAGCTTCATCGCCCGAACTATTTGCTGAACTATTTCCAATAGAGGAGGCTAAGCCTGATGTTATTTTACCAATGAATTGCGAATGAATAATGAACTCAAGCTAGCATTTCTGCAGTCAACTTTTGTCTGTGCGCTGTATGATACGCTTTGATAAATGTCGAACAGAAGAGTGCACGTTTCTAAAGGTCCGCGACAATCTTTTCAAAGTTTTATTAAAGTTCAAAGAAGAAAACTGTGAATAACAAAAGGGACGCCAGCGTTGACCAAGCAATTCCGGTTTGGACCTCATAATGTCCAATGATCTAATATCAAAATAGGCTGGGGAATATTACAGAGAGTAGGATGATAAAACAAGTTTTTGATCAATAGTGGTTATAGAAATAATTTATGCCTACATATGTATACATAAAATAATTAAATTATTTTTGTTACTTGAGATGATTTTGTTTGTTTGTTATCTTAAGGGCAATCTCTGGGAAAGAGCCCGACGCGGCTCGGGACTTCTGGTGTTATCGAAGCCCGAGCTGCCCTTACTACATTTGGCTGCTCTTGTCCAAAGAAAATATTTATTATTGAGCAGCCCTTACGCGTTTCAAGGTCTCACGGGGTCAAGTTTGCTAAAGGTCGACAAAGGGGATTTAAAAACATTATAAATTTATTTAAGCGATAGACAATAAGATTTTAAAACTTAACATGAAATTGAAAATCAAGTAAAAATTTATAAGCTCGCGAAAAATACACACAAACTCTGGACTCTGTATCGCCTGCGTTTAAAGTAATTTAATATTTATTTTCGCATGGTCTCCGATCTCTACTCTACGTTAATTTGGATTTAAACATTTTGTTTAATTTGCTAATTTCTAAAAATTTCATTTCATGGGATTTTCGTAATTATGCCCTAAAAACTGATATTCTTTTGTTCTCTCTAGCACTTCTTATTATTTGTCTTCTTTACGTTATTATTCTAACAAATTTTTTCACTCACCCGCACTTATTTGGCGTTCCATCGTAGAAAGCACTTTCCCGGGGATTGGTGGCTAAGATGGTTAATTTGAGGGGGTAGAAAATATTAAATAATAAGACATCATAAATGTTACATTCTACGCCCGATCATACTGCACAAAAAAATGCATGCCCTATCAAAAAGAAAAAATCTCCAAATACACACATTAGAATTAGTCACTAATCATATTTATAAGTATACAAAAAAAAAAATAATTTGGTCCTCGGTGGTCTTCCCTCTATTCGAATCCTCTTCTCCCGGTGTAGCTCTCCTTTTTCCTCTCCTGTTTCGTAATCGCTTGCTTTTTCTTTTTGGTTAGGCTTTCGACGCGTCGTCATAGGCCTGGTGGGAAACCGAAAAACCGTGATCCCCGACGCCTGGTTTTTGTCACGTGCTTCGTGTTTGGGCCCTTTCCGCTGGGTACAATCAGGGTCTAAAGAAAAAAAATCGCTTCATGGGAGGACAGAGAGCCGACATCCGCTCGCTGTCGAGCGCGGTTGCAAATGGATTAACTTCTGGGATTGAGCTCGTCTGTTAGCTAACTCCGTCGATGGCTCTCACGAGTTAATGCCATTCCACGGTTCCTCTACCCTAGGGGGTTGAGAATGCCCAAGAATGCGGCCCTGAAAGTCAACCAATTCGTAGCAGGAATTACCGAATTTTTTTCGAACTCTGGCTTTCAAGTACGCTGGACCCAATTTGCTACTATACCTAAACGGAAAATTTCTATGCCGGAAGTTCTTAAAGAAGACTTCCTGCTCTTTCTTATAGGCTTCCTCTCTGGATCGCAGTTGGATTCCCGCTCATTCTTTTCATTTTGCCTTTTTAAAACATCGCAAGCAGACTTCCTGACCAACTCTAATAAATCTTTGCGAGAGAAAACTGTTGATCTGTCCTCCAGGAGTCCTAAGGTCCTCAGCAACTTATATGAAGCTCCTGACGATAGAAAATTCTGCGCAAACGTCATGTAATATGGACTGGTACCTATTGTGGAATGAACTGCTGTCCGAAGAGCGGAGAAAATACTACTGAGGTGCTCGTCCCAATCTTTCTGATCGCTGCTATAACCGAACGGTTAACCCTTTCAGAAGCATTTGCTTGGGGCGAATAGGCGGCAGTCAGTATATGGGAAATTGAATATTCCCCTAACAAAAGCTTCGGCTCTGAACTGCGAGCCATTGTCAGAAACAATGGTCTTTGGCACGCCAAAAGTATGGAATAAATCCAGCTGCTGATACTTAATTACGACACCCGCCGTGAGTTTTTTCACAGCTTTGAAAAACACGAACTTGGAATAATGATCCAAGACTAGAAATATACCAATACTACCGCTGGGAGAACGAGGATATGGGCCAAGAAAATCGATATAAAGTCGTTGGAAAAATCGTTCAGATTCTGGCGCCACGCCCATGGGAGGCCGCTGTGTCCTATTAGGCGGTTTGATAGACTTGCAGACCTCGCATGACTTTATATCGTTTACTATCTTCGAATCCTTTCCAACGTTTTGTGAATGCTCCCATGAGAAGCAAGGGGATCATCATGATTTTTCTTCAAAACCGACTAGTTCACTTGGAATCCATAGCATCCATATAAAAGTGTCATGAAGTTGGTCTCCCATAGCAAGATCGGATCGTCGATAAATCAAATTATCTACTACCTTCAAGTCTGGCAACTTATCAGTGTTGACTTTTACCCACTCGGCCAGTTCTGCATACTTCTCCGACTTGAACTCTTGGTAATTGAGGTCTATCAATAAACCCTAAATCGCATCTATTGCCGCTGTTTCAGCTTCGTTTACCCTAGAAAGGGCATCTGGTACGACATTCATCTTCCCACTTCTATGCTCAATCTTGAAATTGAATCTTTGGAGTTTTAAAGCCTAGCGAGCTAGGCGGGAATAGAGATTAGTTTGGGACATCAACCACTTTAGGGAAGCATGATCGGTAATAATAGTAAATTCATGTTCTTCCACATAAGGACGAAATCGCTTAATGCAAATAATAGCCTACAGACATTCCTGTACTGAGGATCGGAAGTTAAGTTGTTGCTAGCCGTACGTGTTTTTATATCCGAGTTCGCGAAAACAAGTTTTTACCGAAGAAAACCGCGTGAGCGTTACCTAGAATTGAAGAAGTGGGGTTGTAGTGTCCCAAAGTGTTGGAGGCTACAACTAACCAGAGTGCGGAGGTCTTCATTGGACCCCAGAACCCCTCTGGCTCCAAAAGGAGGTGCCCCGTCGAAACTATACAGCTACACCAGGGGTTCCTCAGGTTTGGTCCTGGGCCCTACCCTCTGGAACTGCATGTACGACGGAATACTCAACCTACAGCTCCCTGAAGGAGCTACGATTGTAGGCTTCACGACGATATTGCTGTCGTCGCGGTAGCAAAGCATTTAAATGAAGCCGAAGCAGTAACAAATGCGTCTATCGAGCAAGCTTCTCATTGGCTATGTGCTAATGGCTTGAAGCTCGCCGAGCACAAGACGGATTAGCAGCAGGAAGGCGGTAGAAACCGCCCAAATAAACAGCAGAGTAGCCGCCTTCTGGCAAATGTCTAATCATCTCCGATGATAGTGCATTGTTTATAGCCCCTAGACCTCCTCGCAAAACAGGCGCAGGAGCTGGCCGGTGGAAGTCCTTCGATCGACGTAATAAGAGCCCGCGTGGTTTCAGCGTGGCAAAGCCGATGGAGTGGTAGCTCAACAGGTAGGTGGACGTATAAGCTTCTGCCCGATGTGGAGCGTTGGGCACGAGACAGATCCGTTCTGCACACACTGTGCGGGGGCAATCGAAGACTCAGAAATTGTTTTTATTGTCTGTACGAGATGAGCTCAGCTTAGCAATTGGGAAGCCATACATGGTCTCTGACCTGATGAATATGCTACTGGGCTCACAAAACCAAGGGGATGCCGTAAGCAAAATGACAGTCTTTGTCATGAAATCCATGCGTCGCGCTGAACGGCAGCGCAATCGATTTCAAACCTAGTTTAATTACTAGTTGCGGCTTTCAGGCCATCTCCCCCCTCGCGAAATAATACCAAACGTTAACCACTGCGGTTGTACCGTGAGAGGAAAATGGAGAGTACGTTCAGAGTCTTAGTGGGTGAAAGACCCACACTTCGGCTCTTCAAGCTTTCCCCCTATACAAAAAAAAAAAATACATTCCTGTACTACCACTGAAAAATGGACACAAACGCAGTCGGATATTCATCGCCTTGGTCTGACTTCTGCACCAATACACCTCTAACTCCTGACTTGCTTTCATCGCATTGGACATACAATAGAAGGGTCTTGTAAAATCGGGGCTTCGCAGGACTGAGGCAGAACACAACATTTCCTTCAATAGGACAAACGCCTTCTGGGGTCATTTGAATTTTTTTTCCTGGCTTCAACAAATCTGTAAGTGAAGCAGCCACCAAGGCAAAATTAGTGATAAATTTACGATACCACCCCACCATGCCCAGAAAACTACGAAGCGATCTTAAACTTATTGGTAGTGGAAAGTTTGCCATGGCCAAAATTTTCTCCGGATCAGTACGGATAACGCCTTCACCTACGATATGCCTTAAATACTTTACTGACCGCATGCAGAATTTGCTTTTTTCCACATTAAGCGTAAGTCCAGCAGCTTTTATTTGATCTGCCACTGCACTAATACTCTTAAATATGTTTCGAAAGGAACCACCAGAAGATCATCCAAATAGACGAAAACTTCTTTTCTGAGATCGGATGGAATTACCTTATCCATTAGTCGGGTCATTATTTAGGACGCATTGGTTAGCCCGAATGGCATCACCTTATATTGGTACAAAGGCTTTCCGGGAATTGTAAAAGCGGTTTTACCTCGAGACTTTTCCTCTAAAGGAATCTGCCAGTATGCATATT